TCCCCCAAAATCACTACGAACCCGTTTCGGTTCTCCAAAAATGGTAACAGCATTGCGAAAAACATTTTCAATAGTTTTTGCTCTATTATTGCCACTACACTCAATAAAAACACAGGTACGGCTATAACCATCTATGCCAATAGGAACCACGAACCTCCACCTTATGAGTCTATGTTTACCATCAATGTGCCAAAGATAGTTTGGGTAGTGCACATGGTATACTCTACGCGTTATTGTTTTTCTTCGCCTCTCAGCTATACCATGAGCATCAACATGCTGCAAAGCTAAACGAATTCTTTTCCTCTGTATGGTGTAACCGTGAGCACGAATATGCCCCATAAGCAGCTTGGACCCAACGTTGGGATGTTCTTGCTTTATATTTCTAACAAGTGTATTGAGGTCGTCATCAGAAATAGAGGCAAAACTAGGCTTGTTCAGGCCAAACTCCAGCATTTTGGCATTTAACGTTGGCCTTGAAATTCCAAGCTTTCTTGCAATCACTGCTAGTGTAAAGTGTAACTTGAGCATGTTTTCTATTGCTATCTTTGACACTTCTTTACGAGGACGCCCCACCTGAGCATTGTTATTCACTTGGACCTGTAAAATAAAATTGAAAAACATTTATATTTAAAAGTTAACATGTCTATTAAATTAAAACACAGTTATATATACACGATGAAGTTGAAAATCACAAAATACTTTCGACGTCGCTTAGCTTGTTCAAAACCTTCGATTATGTAATGTTAAGGGCTCATCTTTTGCAGTAAGATAATTGTGGGTTGCATTTTCCATAAGTCTACGCTGATTTAGCTCATAAACTTAAAGTGAGTCCAAGTAGTAGTACAGTATAGTGTGGGCAAGCAGCTCAGCAATTCTGAACTTACATTTTCACATTTCAGTGCTCACTTTACAAATTTTCCAACCTGGGCTCTACGTTGGACAAATAGCCACTACTACTACTACACTAGGCTTAGTTCCGGTGTCAAACGAATAACCAGTGTACAACTACAAGTAATTCCCATGAAAAATTTAATTCATACAATTTTCAAAGACCTAGCTCTACTCTAGTACTATAGCCCGCGTTCGATAAACTGCCGCATAAGCAGGCCTGCGGCATTTAATCGAACGTGGGCTATAGTACTAGAGTAGAGCTAGGTCTTTGAAAATTGTATGAATTAAATTTTTCATGGGAATTACTTGTAGTTGTACACTGGTTATTCGTTTGACACCGGAACTAAGCCTAGTGAGTAGTGTAGTAGTAGTAGTGGCTATTTGTCCAACGTAGAGCCCAGGTTGGAAAGTTTGTAAAGTGAGCACTGAAATGTGAAAATGGAAGTTCAGAATTGCTGAGCTGCTTGCCCACACTATACTGTACTACTACTT